TAGCTCGCAATACAGTGGAAGTCGACACATTTAGTGAAAGTCGTGCACGGATCTGATTGGCACTCATGGTTGAATTGGAAGCCAATCTAGCGATCAGTCCGTGGTCGGCTCGTGTCAATTTGAGTGGACGTCCTCCTCCGTGTGCTTGACCATATGCCGCAGGATTCTTCACGAAACCGTCGATGCAGCGTCTGGATCGGCCGTGTTGTTCCGCGATGGCCTTGTTGCTATGGCCTGCTTGACGAAGCGATAGAATTTGGTATTGTTCTGTTGAAGATAGACGACGACCCTTAGGCATGGTGGACTGCTTTGGATTGCGGACAGGACAGCTTTGGACAGAAGGCGGTAAGGCTGCGCGGACCTGAGATATTTCGTAGCAATGACGGCATGGCATAAGCAATTGACGCAGCTAATTTTCACGTTCCCGCCAAAAAAAGGGCGCTACCGCCGCGTTCAAATATGTTTAGGCTTTGTTGAGACTCTTGTTCACTCAGTAAGTGTTGGTCAACAATTCAGCTCGCAATGTTGCCTAACAACTCAGATAAAAGAAAAAGTAGGGGATGGCATATGCAATTGACGCGCTGTAGAAAAGGATACGATGACAGCATTGTGGTTAGCCAACAATGACCCAGTCATCTTCGAAGAACTGCAAAAGTTGAAGGATCGTGGAAAACCTCAGCAACTAATTTATGCTTGATTTACAAGTAGAACTAGTCCAAAACCACAGCTAGAAAGTTAGGAGAACGGAGATCTATTCAACCTAAAATAACCCCGAGTGACATCCAAGTCCAGTTCCTGCACCAGTATGCAGTGGACCTGGGAACAGCTGAACACATTGAATACCAGGCTTTGATGGTCATGTGCCCGTTGATGCACTGGGCATGCAGGCGCTTCTAATGGGACATAGAGCTCCTGCGATACAGCAAGCCTCAATTTTCGAAAAATGGCAAAATATGGTGGCATCGTGGGAGTGGGTGCGACGAGATTTCAGATTATGAAAGACATACATCGGGCTGATTGTGGGGTCTGTTTACACAGCATTGTTTTCCGTTGTACGATTCTTATTTCAAACAGCTCTTAACCACCCGTGGACAGATCACGTAAAAAGATATGCCCCACGGAAATTCACCGTCAACATTTAGACCAGAAGTTATGAATCGTCAAGAGAAGCCTGAATTCTTATCTGAACCATGCCATTTTCTCTTCTGGCATAGTCTAAAGAGGCTTG